CCCCAATAGTCCACGGTACGGCTCAAGCAGTGCCGCCGCGGCCGCTTTCCTCGCTCAGGATGACGGCAGCCGCGGCGGAACTCCTGACCCTTCAAAGACCAAACAGCCAACCAACACGCTGCATTCACCGCGGCGTATCTATTGGCTCGCATCTACAAACTTGCAAACAAAGTGCTGCGGTGGCGATAAACTTAAAAGCAACAACAAGGGCAAATTCAACGCCCCCTTACGACTCCTAAAAAAAAGCAATCAACGCTTGCACATGTACCGTAATCTTCAAAGCAACAACAAAGAGGGCAAAATGAACTGCCATTTAGTACTCGTAAAAACGAAAAAAAATGCATTAATTACATCAATCCTAGACCCTTATTTTCTATAGATACTGTTGTAGAGATGGATATGTTGTGTTAAAAAAAAAATGCATTGATGTCACCAATCCTAGACCCTTATTTTCTTTGGGTACTGTTGTAGAGATGAATATCCTGTGTTAAAAAAAAAAAAATCACTGCTGCTCCTCGTACCTTGATGTAGTTCACCGGCGGCGGCGAGGGGTCCCGGGAAACGATGTGCATCATGTGCACGTCCCCCACCTCCCCGCCAGTGACGGCCTCCTTGAGGCGCATGAAGTTCGCGTCGAAGCGTCTCTGGAACGCCACGAAGCACATCACGCCCGCTTCCTTCACGACGGCCGCAACCTGTTTGGTAAAAAAAAACAAAAAAACAGTGTTATGCATACCGCTTCCTTCACGACGGCCGCAAGCTGTTTACTACAAAAACCCGACAACATTGTTAAGCTATAGTCGAATGCAACCTTGCTTGCTTTTACTCGAATGCAGATGTGGTTTCTTCTTTCCACATGCAACTGCTGTGGAATCATTCATGCTGTTTGATTTGCTTGCAATTTTTTTTTCTCGTAGGCGTAAACAGATTGGTTTCTCGCAAGAACATGTGTTGTTTTCGTCTTCAAATCGAAAAAACGAATAAAAAAAAAAACAGTTGTTGCCTTTGACCAACGCCCGAACGGTCAGTTTCCGTGCTGTTTCATTCACCCTCCCAAAAAAAACAAGATCGAGCCTGTTACCCACAGGGGAGATATCGCTGTGTGCTGCTCGGGAAACCGTGGAAATACAGGTAGCTTTCTCTGACGCTATGAATTCATTGCTAATCTATGTTAAACTCTTTTCCTAGATAGAGATGGATTCGTTGGGTCATGTTCAGAAAATAAAAATAAAAGATTCTACTGTAGTGCGTTCGATGACAATAATAAAAAACATACACATACTGACGTCTTTTCATTGACCAAGCCGGTTAGCGCGGTCGATGCCAAGCAAAGAGAATACCAACACACACCTCGTCGATGATCTCGAGGCTGAGGGAGATGGGCTTCTCGCAGAAGATCATCTTGCCAGCCTTAGCGGCGGCCATGATCTGGCCCGCGTGCTGGTCGGTGGGAGAGCAGATCACTACAGCCTCCACGTCGGGGTCGTTGATGAGCTGAGGGGAAACACAACAGCAACAACAGACAGACAAGCAGACGGTGATGAAACAATAGTGCGTGAGAGTTGTTGACAAGGCGAGATAATACACATCAACAGAGGCACTCGTGGAGACGGGCGCCGTTGGACCATTTAACAAGTGGATGCCGGCCTGCGGGCCTTCCTTGAAGCCGTCGAGCTCTTGTCCGCACTAATGAATCCCGTCGCATGCAACACGTACGTGCAAACTGCTTGCTGGCAATGATACACAACCAATATATTACACCCCCCGCATGATGCAACAACGCTGAATGATTCATCTCCTCATTTTGCCAACCAACCACCACCACCCAACCCGCTGCAGGGCGCTTGGTGGGATGGCTGTTGTCAACTGCTTCGTGACTTGAGTGAATGCGAAGGGGTAAGGGGTAAGCATACACACCTCGATGGGGTCGTTGGTGGTCTTGGGCACGTGGAAGATCGCCGAGACCTCGTCGAGGGCGGGCTGGTAGATGTCGCAGATCATGCTCACGGTGGCCTTGGTGGGGACGGACGCCACGGAAGCGCAGTGGCAGCGGCCGATGCGACCGACACCGATGATTCCGACCTATCGCGTGTCGCATACGCACAACAACAGATCATGGAAAACGGTAAGTGTCGAGCACGCGCGCGCGGTTTTGCTTTTATTCGTGGGCACGGAACCCCCGCAAGGAGGAAAAGCATGGGGCATGGCAACAAGCTACAACATCGTCAATGAGTTAATGAGTCTCGATCCGCTCTGATAGGCCAAACAGAAGTTTAATTTCCTAATAAGTACACCCGAAGGTGTAAATGTAGAGACACAGAACAGACCGGGTATTACAGTACATGTACCGATAGAAGGTTGTTGTAATCGAGGGTGTGCTAGCTCAAGGGGGGGGGGGGGGGGTCCTTTCCTAAAATAAGACAGCAACGACGTCGGGAGTACGGGGAAAGCACGCTTACCACTACTACTGCTGTAGACGGATCCAAGGAAACTACCAGTGTCCTTCCACTGAACCGTCAAGTTTCCTTTCGCAGACACCCCACCGATGGCATCAGCAGTTATGTGAGTGTTGCACCCAGCCTACCGATCTTCTGGATCCTTGCTACAAATATTATCTTCTTTTCGGGTCTTTCAGAAATGTTTCTACCCTTCGAGGGTAGTTGCTCTTGCGACCACCCCAGGCGTCCGCTTCAATTGGAACGGTACAGTAACGGTACAGCAGTACGGGTCTCAGAAGGTGGTTAGACAGACGTAAGGTAAGCACAGAGATAAAACTGCTGCTCAAACAACATATTGTATTGTAGAACAATGACCAGATCGGACTCCGGCAACAAGTCCACCCGTACCCGTACCCATGGATCTATCAGCACACAAGACAAGGAAAATTCAGAATCTGGTGGGCACTTGGCGTAGATTAAAAGGCAGAGACGTCGGGCGGGCAATGTCGCAGACAGACACCTCTGTGGTATGCGTATGCATACGCATTGGAATGCACAGCAGTAGATGCATACCTCGCCAAACACAGCTGGAATGGGCAACAGGTCTTTCGGTACCGGATGTGAGAGCAAGTGCAATTATTGTACCAGTCTGGAAGGAGGTAGCCGACGCAAATGGTGGCCATAAAGAGCGCTTCGGAACACTAGATGAGGGGGGGGGCGGGCAGCTTGATTTGGGCTCCATGCGAAAGGAACGGACACCATCTCGTCCCGAGCAAGGATGCAGGGTGCTCAAAACTACATTAGGAGAGCGTCGGTACAACATCCACGGCAGTTCGTTGTGGGTAAATTACGTAAGCCTGTGAGTACGCTACGACGAGCACCGGCCTGTCGGGACGTTGCAAACAGAAGCAAAGAAACCAAACGCGGTAGCTTGCATATGGGTGTGCAAAGGAACCGAATGCATGGTCCACTAAAGTTCGACGGCGGCTGCAGCAGCAGCGTTTGGGGGCGGGGAGGGGGCGTCCTTTTTCTGGTGAGCCGGTAGTACAGGTGCACTGCGGTGGATCTGCTGGCGCCCTGCTGTCGTACATAGACTATTGGCCGCGTCGGCAACATGCACAGCTTTGGACACCATGCGGACAGATGGCGGCATTCCAGCCCTTGCCTTCGCCGCCGGGGATACCTCCTTGCGGCGCCTGCCCACCGCGCCCTTCACGCATGAGTCCCTTTCCGGAAGCATCACGCGGGTTCCATTCTAACATAACCAACTCAACAACACCCACACCGCAGCACCTGCAACTACACGTCCCACCAGCTCCTTCGCTTGAGGCAAAAAGCCAGACATCATAAGAACAGCAGTAGTTTGCTGCTGCGCACAGCGGCCGGGTCGCGCCTGAGCGACCGCTGGCACGCTATACCCGTCCGTGCTTACCTTCAGAGGAGCCATTTTGAAGAAGAAATGTGTTTGAAAGGAAGTAGAGGGTAGGGAGGGAGTGGAGTGGTAGGAGAGGGAAGAACAAGCGTGGTGCAAAAAGACGATCCGTCTGCCGGTCTGCCGCGACGTAGAGTTTGGGGGGTCATCAGGTTGTAGTCCTACCCCTCCCCCTGTGTTATTCGCTTTGATTCACGGAGCACCAAGCATCGTTGCATGAGCTGTGACCTGCTCTACCCGACCCACACACCACATCCTGTCCACGCCCCATTGTATAAGCCAGACAGCACAAGCAGCCGAAAGGTGAGGAAGAGATGGATTTTGTGTCAGGTTGACTGTGGCGAGCAGAGTTTGGCGCTTTTACGGCGGGATGGTTATGTCCAAACTATCACCGCCGCTGAGCTGCTGCTGTGAGACGTGCTCGGGGATGCGGTCTATGAAGTTGACTTATGAAGTTGACTTATAGAGTACTACCGAGTGCCTCACCCAGGATCGGGTATACTGCTGTAGCCGTATTCCTTGTTGGTTCGAACCTTTGCACCTGTCGCGTAAAGACGGAGTGCGTTTGCTCTCAGCTGCGGTACACAGACCAGATTGTTATTTTTTGTGTCACTGCTGTCTGTCGAAGCAGCATAACGCCGCCGATATGCCATTTGTTCGAGGGTCTGCTTGTAGCACGAGACATGAGATCTCATCTCCACTCAACTTTGCACAGCGGCGATCCCCATACAACAGACTTTCCGGTGTGTGAAGACTCGGGGAACAAGGGCACAGCAGCAGCACTCTCGGTAGAATGCAATGTGGTAATTAATCCTCGACATCGATGGTAATTAGTAGAAGGCGTCCCTCCCCAGCTTATCCTACCCGTGGGGGTGCAAGTCTCGCGTGCCCCAGGTGCAAATCAGTATCTACGCCTTTTACACTATTACTCTCGGCCATAAGGACAAACAGCAGCATTGCCTTCTGTACCGGAATATTAGCTACAACAGCTTCACGAAATTCTGCTGCTGCTGCCGTTCGTTTGCCAGGGGGAGCAGGTGACAACCTATCACGCGAGGAAAACAGGGGGCTCCAGCTAAACAAGCCGGCGAAACGGGGGGGTAGGGGAGGCACCGGGGAAGGATAAGAGGGGGCATCAGATCAGGGCTGAAGTAGTCCCAGCGACCATCGTACAGAGGCTTTCGCCCGCTGTTGGGTTTGGTGGTACGGTAGTAGTGCGGGCGCGATGGAGGCGTTATCGCTGCTGCGGCAATGCACCATGGCGAGGAAGACCGTGAGGGAGGAGAAGGACTACTACGTCTTCGGCCACAGGAGGGTGCCCAAGGACACCCCGACCGCCTGGAAGTCACAAGTGCAGAGCGAGGTGAGCGTCCGCCGCCACCGCCGGGAGTGGAAGGAGTACTCGTGTAAACGCATGCCGTAGATCGTCAGACCATTGACCTCGCTTCCGGGACGGAGCGGTATGCCGGGTTATCGCCGGCCCAGGCTACGTTCTACAGAGATGAACCACAAGATTTATTTGCGTCTGCCGTGCCAAACCAGATGTGCGCGCGTGCGGGGGAGGGGGGGGTGGTACGATGGGCTGGAAGCTAGGTAGTGCCGTGTGCGCCGCGTATGGTGCCAAGCCCCCTTGTACCATGTACCGGGTATGGTGGATACCGTTCGAAAGCTCGACCAAAGAAGACGGTCGTGAACACAGCCAAGGATTATTGTAGATACAACGGTCGTTCGGAGGCTGCTCCCCTGCAAGCGATTTTCGTTAGACGCACCCCCAGTTCGTCGCATGCATCATCGCTCCTGTTCCATGGAGACGTGAGACTTTTCCATCAACGCACGGGTTGCGGCATCTTGAAGCTGGACAAACCAGATAATACATACCCCGACGTTGTAAGCGGACTAAGTCTATAGCTGTGTTTCTGGTTCTTGGGTCAAGTGGAAAGGGAGGGTGGGTGAGTTCCGGGGGTCGCCTGCCTTCGGGTAGTGAAGTGCATGCCGCATTGAAAAATGGCCCACATGAAAGAGTACACAGAGAATAGGGGTCCCCGTATACGGCCGCAAGATTGACCAGTTCTCAAGCTTACGGTTCTGTACCTCGACAATTTCCGGCGAAAATGAGTTGCCCAGGGATAGGAAATGTTACTCCTCCTGTGCCTGCTTCTTCTCCTGGCTACGTACGTTCAAGCTTGCGCTTGCTAGCCTTTTCTGGAGCGTGAATAGGTCAAAGCGACCCCCCCCCCCACCTCGATACACGCATCAAATTGGCGGTTTTGAAGAGCGTCATCGTACCGCCGCTAGAGTACGCCGGAGAAGTATGGGAAGGAAATAAAAAGGTAGTGAAAGAACTCGAGGCGGCGCAGATGAAAGCAGCGAAAATCATCCTAGGATGCTCCAAGCGCGCAAGTAATGGAGCCGTCAGGGCAGAATTGGGGATCCAATCCCTACGGTCGGGAAGAGACGCAAGGAAGCTGACATGGCAGTATCGCATGTGCGGGATGGGTGAGGAGAGGTTGCCGAGAATAGTATGGGAGGCGAAGTGGGCAAACAAAAAGCGGGGTAGACAACCCACGGAATGGGTCAAGGTTGTAGAGGACGTATGGAGGGGGTTAGACATCGACGAAGATGAAACGCTGGAAACGGAGGGTCTACAGGGGTTCAAGGAGAAGATATCTGTTGCTTGTGCCGAGAGAGAAGAACGGAATCTAAGGAAAGAAACCAAGGATAAGGAGGGTCTAGAAGTGTACGGAATGTTGAAAGAAGGACTAGGGTTCAAGGACTACCTACATGGACCAATGGATGCAGGGACAAAGCTTAAGGTCAAATTCAGGACCGGGGACATACCTTCGAGAACGTCGACGAAGACATAGGACGGTAGACGACGAAGACGACAAGTTCAAATGTGATTGCGGCTTCGGGTGCGAAGACCGTGTTCATGTAGTCGCGGAATGTCCGTGGTACGAAGAGGAGAGGGAAGTGTACATGACCGAGCTGGGAAAAATAGAAGGGAGGTACAGGGAGATGTTTGAGGCATGGAATAGAGAGGAGAGGACGGTAGCTGTACTGGGGAGTAGGAAGTGGTTCGAAAAGGCGGGAAGGGATATCGTTAGGATAGACAGACTAGGGAAGACATTTTTGAGCCACCTTTGGCAAAGTAGGAAGGAACGATTGGCCATCGGTGATCGGTCCTGTGGGAACAATGCTCCGTCCTCTCGAGGACGCGTGGTCAATGGTCTAACCGCTATGACATGCAAAACATAAGAGTACGCCCCCGCCCCCCCGCCCTCCCCACCCCCCTCCGCAGTACTACAGCTTGAAGCAGCTGGTGATCCTGCTAGAGCACGCGGACGCGCCCATGGTGACGTACATCGCGGCCTGCACAAGCAAGGGTGTCAAGTGGGTGGCCTCGATCGAAAAGGCGGACGTGTTGGCCTACCTTAGGGGTCAAACGGACGATGCCGCTCAGGTGCGTTACGTTTTGGCTTTCGTTCGGTTTGTAAGTATAACTGTCACATATTTTGAATTTTATTCCGGATAGGTACGTGCGTATTGGCTCTCGCCGGAGGTTAGTACGTGGAACTGTCACATGATTGTTTTTTTCTAAACATGACACGAAAAATCCATCCCTATCCATAGGTGAAGGGTCTGGGGTGAATTGGTAGCTTGTTTTCCGGGTGGGAGACGCTGCGTTCTTCTCTTTCTACTTTCATGCCAAGCCATCTACTACGTTGCTGCCGTGGGTAAATGTAGCACGCCAGGATCTTGTGCGTCTTCGAACGGGGGCAAGGACGGCACCACTCCCCTTCGCTGTTCTTTCTTTTGGCCGCTTTTTGGCGGGCTGCAGGCAGCGGCCGTCGGTGCGGTTTGGGCGGTACTCTACTCTCTTTCGCTCTCTCTGAAAGTTTCGTGTTCGGTGGTGGCTGGTTATACCTCTTTAATTTTCTCTGCTCACTGCTGCTTGTTTGCTTTCGTGTGGTACTGAAGTTTTCACGTTCGATGATGATGGATGCTTGTGTATCGGAAGCGTAGCAAACTCTCGGTGTCGTTCTGGGTGGTACTGCTGTACCTAACTCTCTCCTCTTACAACTTTGTGTTCGATGGGGCTGTTGGTTTGTACCTTTTTGTCGTCTGCCCACCGCTACTGCTGTTTTGTGTTTCTCGCAGATCGATAAGACAGCAGCACCGCCGTCGTCGGAGAGGGCTAACAAGCGCTCACACAACGAGCTCCAAAAAGGTGAGGAGAGAGAAACAGAGGCAGGTGAAACGGTCACAGTTCCGCCGCCGCTCGTAGCGGCGACCGGAGTGGTATTAGTGTCCAAGTCGTTTGATCGCCAACCAGAGGCGTCAGCCCCGTGTATGCTCCGCCCACTTTAGGGTGTACATCGATTCCTCGTTGCTGTTTTCCGCCATGAGATGAGATTGTTGCATCATGTCATCCTGTTAACCGACCCAATGTGGAACGTGGAGACCGGGGGAAGGCCCAGCCACTTGTTTTTTTCTTGTGTGGTGACCATCGTTTGCGGACATGTGCGAATTTATGCTTCGTTCCCGCCCGGTGAGTGAGTGGCCCGTCCGTTCAAGTGTTGAAATACAAGCACCTCTCACGCTGGCAGTTTCCTCGTCAGACGATGGATCCCTCGCCGCATTACCCCCCCCCCCCCGCAATCGATGCGTCGGGATAGATAGGCTAGGGAGAACATTTTCGAGCCACCTTTGGCAAAGTGGGAAGGAACGATTGGCCATCGGTGATCGGTCCTGTGAGATCAATGCTCTGTCCTCTCGAGGACACGCTTCGTCAATGGTCTAACCGCTAAGTCATACAAAACTTACCAGTACGCCCCTCCCCCCGCCCAATATGTATGTATCTGGTTCGGCACAGCAAACGCAAGGATGATGAAAAGTTATCCTTGTGAAACATAGCCCGGTCCGTCGGAGAAACGGCATATCGCTCCGTCCCGGCATCACAAGCCTGACGACTACGGCTTGCGCTTACACATGAGAGTACACCCCACCCCGCACCCCTACATCGATACGAAAACCGCAATACGTTTTCATCTTCAGGCATGACGGATACCGAGATGCGAGAGGCAAAGAAGGCGCACGCCCAACGCTTGGAGAACCGAGGGGGGGGGGGGAGTCGCGCGGGGCTGCTGAGCGGACAGGACCCCCTGTTGTCGAGGGGGGAGGGCACGGGGATCGGCGGGATATCTCAGGACAAGCTGCTGGAGCTTCGGGCCAAGCGTCTGTCCCACAAGCGAAACACCATTGTGTCGTGAGTAGAGTGATTTTTGAAACGTGTTTCTTGGCTTTTTCATGCGGGTGGAGTTGTTGGGCAAGGGATGCACGCTCTCTCTTTTTATTTCTTGTCGTCGCGGCGGCTGATGCTCGGGCTCCGGCGGTCCGAGCACAATGGCACCTTGAGTGTGTAGAGCGCACAAAATGCTTGCTCCACACGCGGCGTCAAAGGCGGCCGAGCACCTGCCGAAACAACACGCACCGTAGATTTTCCATGGTGGTGTTCGTGTGTGACTATAATACCAGATATACGAGGACAAGGCAAACAATTGGCGCACACGGACTTTTGACCATCAAGGAGGGGTTGTTGTCGTTTTGTTGTCGAACAATTGCGCGTATCGTGTGTTTGTTCGTTCGTCAGGGTTGGAGATGACGCCGCGGACAACCCCGTGGACCCCAAGTTTCTGGGCGCTGATAAGATGATCGTGGCCAAGGTGAGAGCAGAGCCACCACTAACACAAACAAAAAACAGGAACACTTCTCGAGGAAAGAAAACGGCCTTGGTTTTTCGTCTCTTTTTTTTCTTTTGCCTTGTTGTTTGTTTGTCGGAGAGGGAAAGCGAGAGGTGATGTCCGTGTGGTGAGGGTGCTGCGGTCACGGTGAAATACAGCAAGACAAGGTCGGAAAATCAGAGAGGGCGAGGTACAGGTTACTTCGGGATGACTGGTTGGTCGATCGGGTAAAAAATGTGCCGTTTCGAGTCAATGAGATGTCGCGTCAGGTCAACATGTGTCGGTTCGGGGGCATCATATTGTGGCAATATTGTTCGGGTCAATAATGTGTCGGTTCGAGGGGGGTTGTAGCCGGGGTAATTATTTCCAAAGATGATTATATTCCCCCCCCCGAAGTTTTTTTTTTTACCCAGATTTCGATGCCTTTTCCGCACACTCCGGTTCGCGCCAAGTTTGTTTCGCTTGTCAAAGCTCAAGAATTGGGCGAGAAAAAGTGGGGTTGCGGAAGCCTTGGCTACACTTTGATAGTTAACTCTTTAGGACTAACCGATGTTGAACGTAGGAAGGCTAGGTCCTTCACGCGAGCAAGGCTAGGTTGCTCACCCCATATCTACCCTAACCCTAAATCTAACCCTAACCCACGGCCAAAGCACGGCCTAGCGGCCGCGAAGCGGGGGAGCACGCGGCTGCGCCGCGTGCTCGGAATGCGGAACGGGGAGAGGGCGCTGGAGAGGAATCGGCCGCCAGAACCAACGCCGAACAACGCCCGACCAATCAGAACGCGTTAGTCCTAGAGATCTCCTATCAATGTGTAAACACTACTGGGTTGCGGTGATGGCTGCATTTAGCTGGACCGACTCTTCGAACGTGCTTCCCTTGATCTCATGAACGTTCTCGCTCTTCAGAGTCACATGTATGTTATCGACGAATCCCTCCCCATGCTTGCTCTTTCGGCAGATCCTGGCGAATGAGATGAGCATCTCGGACCGTAACTCGGTCTTGAGGAAGGAGGGAAAGAGCTTCCGGTTCGCTCTGGAGTACTACAACCAGGCAAGCTTTTACGCTTTTACAAGATGCACCAACCACAGCAGCGTAGAGAACCTCTTACTTGGGCCGATGCTCATTTCTTATTTTTCTCATGTGGGAGAACACAGCATCAACGATGTATATATAGGTTTCGTTTCTTATTTTTCCCATGTGGGAGAACGCAGCACTAACGATGTATATATAAGTTTTCTTGTAGGGGTTCTTGATGGAGCACCTGTTCTTATGGTCAAGTTCTGAAGTCTCTGTATTGTAGAGCCTTGCGTTCCTATCTCCCTCCGAGATTCTCTTATGTATTGTAGGTGATGACGCGTGCCGTGTACAGCGTTAGAGTCGATGTTGGGTATTCATGGGCAGCGGGCTGCGTACCAAGCTCAGGTGGATAGAAGGCGGCCGAAGGATGAATGAGGAATGACATACGCCAGCCTCCTGGGGACAGCATGTTTCATGGAGATAGTCGTCGACCTTTTTTTATTTGGTTCCGGTTGCCCTCCAGTAGTGGCAGTCCCATTACGCAAAATGCATGATATGGCTTTTTTTTCGTATATATATATTTTCAGGTGAGGCGGAAGGAGAAGGACCAGGCGAGGGAGAATGTGGACGGTTACGGAAAGCGGAAGACGCGGGCGGACAGAGAAGCTCGCCAATCGGGCAGCGGCAGGTGCGTGACTATTAATACAATGCAGCAGCCATGATCGATCGTCATCGTGTCACTGCACGCCAACACGAGGGTGTTGTGTGTGTGTGCGTTGATTATTAGCGTCGACCGCGCTAGCCGGCTGACCAATGAAAAGACGTCAGTCTCAGTGCGGTTGAAAACACAAAACACTTCTAAATGCGATTAACTGGGACCCCGTGAGGAGGTGGCATGGGAGAGGCTAAAGACAGAAACGGTAGCAACAGATGTGTTGATCGTGCGGAAGTTCGGTGTGAGAATCCATGTATGTTGATTGACGTGGATGACTGCAGCAACAATGCAAGAACCGGCAGGTAGGGGTACGGCAGCTCTGCAGCAGCAAGTAGCAGCAGCAGCAGCAGCAGCAGTAGCTACGCGTTGAAGCGTTGCCAGCGCCTAAATATAGCCATGTCCGACCCCGTGGTCCATTGTGCACCTGGCCGTCTTTTTTTTTTTTTATATTTTTCATCTTATTGCGACACGACAAGCTCTTGTCGTGTTCTCCGGTGGCGTTTGTGTCTTCAATGTTAGCATCGACGACCGCGCCAACCGGTGGACCAATGAAAAGACGTCAATGTCAGTGCGGCTGAAAACAGAGAGCGCTTCTAGAGGCAGCCATGACCTGGGACCCCGCGATGGGGCGTCATGCGCGTGTTTGCGTGCGCGCGTGAACGGCATGTTTGTTGTTGACGTGTTCTCCCCCCCCTCAATTGTTTGTTGTTGACGAGTGAACAACGCTTGATTGTTTTTGGTGTCATTTTTTTGTTTTATTTGTAAATTATGTGTTTGTGGCGGCACCATCAGGGGAGGCACAATCTCCGCGTCTGGTGGGCGAGGAGGGAGCGGGGGTGGCGCGGGAGGGGGGGGGGATTTGGCCGGAGCAACCCCGGTCATCATCGTGCCTACGGTGCCGACGTCGCTCGTCACGCTTTACAACGCCACCGACTTCCTGCAGGATGGGAAGTGAGTTCGAGGGGTTGTTTGTTGGATGGCAGCAGTGGTGTGCCGTAAGCTGGCTGGTTGTAGGGTACGGAAGGCGACTGCGGTACGGTACGGTTTGCTCGCAACCTTTTTATTTTTTGCTGGATTTGCCGACGACTTTTTCGGCACAAGCAGCCGTTGTTGTTGCTGGTCATCGACATCTATGACCGCGTGCGATAGAGAGAAACCCGACTGTAATAATTCCCCACTTCCCCTCTTTTCAGACGCAGGCACTTCACCAGCTTTTCCGTCTTTTTGCATGCAACAGCAGCATGGAACAGTAAGTACCTTGTCAAGTACCACCGCCGATGGTGTAGACCCTCGGCGCGTCACCCCCCCCCCCACCCAAGGATGGTGACAAGCTTTCTGGTTTGTCCTTGTGAATCGCAGCCTGGGCCGGGGAAAACCCGAAATATCGCTCCATCCCGGCATGTGAGGGCATGTGAGGTCAAAGGTCAACCGACTGTGGCATGAACGGTCGCGAGTAGACCCTCCCCGATCCCCCTCTACAATAGATGCCTCGATTACTCCTGTAACGTTCGTTCTCTTTTTTATTGTTGTCACTTGGACTTTTTTTGGTTGTGTGCACTGTTCAGCTTCATCCCGACGATGGACAAGAAGAGCAAGAGCGAGCGGAAGCCCTCCGAGATCATGATCGAGCGTGTCAACTCCCAGGGCAAGAAGATGAAGTTCAGGGTCATCGACAACGCCACCAGGCTTCACCCCAAGGTAAGCGGTGATCTCTTCAACCAAACAAACCAATCACACAGGGTGTTCGGGTGCAGAGCAGCAGCTGGGGCAGAGGCAGGAAGGGACAGAAGCTTGACTGAAGTGACACAGCGTGCTGAACCCTTCTGGGGGCCCCGCGGTACCATATGTTCCCCGCAGACCCCGCAGATGAGTATCGGATTCTGAGTACCCCGCAACCAGAGGGTGGCCTACCGCATCTATCCATACCGCATGATGCCGTCCCACTAGCGAACCTTTCCACACCACAAAACGTGATACCATACCAGGCCTTGCATGGCACCGTTACCGTCCGAAGTAGTTCCGTGTCATACCACACAAAACGATGCCATACCATACCGTACCATACCCCCAAAATATGACACCATGCCATGCCATCACCACATTACGGCCACGAGCGCCTTCCGCAAGGCCGGGCTGTAGCAAGCAGTTCCAACCGCCCCTTTTTTCCCGTATGAAGCAATTCCATGTCATACCATACCACACCCCCATAATATGACACCGCCATGCCGTGCCATAAACGTGTCTCTGGCCTACCATCGCTTGTCTTTTCTGGTCGTCCATGGGTTGGGTTTCTACTCTGCTAGGAGTGGAAGGCGTGCGTGTGCGTGCTGGTGCAGGGGGCGGCATGGCAGTTCAAGGGCTGGGAGTGGGACCAGCCGGTAACGCTTTTCCAGAACGGTGAGCGAGCGAGCACTTGCCTTCCTCGTGGTGCATGTCTCTTTCGTGCTCTGGTTGGCCCTGGGTGTGTGTTTTGTGTTTTTTTTTTTTGTTGTCGGGTTGTTGGGAGCCTTGTGTCATCGTGCTGCTGCGGGCGTGGTGCTGCTTGTGCGTCTGAATATCGTAGCTTTGAGCGACGTAAATAGATGGGCGCCTTGTCGCAACCGCAGCAACGGTGTTTGAGCCTCGCACGGTGTTGTTTTGTCTGTGTCCGTAGCGTCCTTTCTCCCCCCCCCGCAACACGGACGCGAAGACGCTGCGCATGTTGTGGCCTTGTTTTGCGGAATGGAATGCCGTGTATCTCCAGTTAACCCGTGCTCATCAGGCAATGTGTCTTGCAGCTTGCGTCCTGAATTCATACGGAAGGCTTTGGTGACCTAAAAAAAAATGAAGTTCGACTCTGCGTGCCCCCCCCCCCTCCCCCTCCGTACTGCAGTGCTTGGGGTGCACATGAAGTTCGACGATGTCCGAGTCAACGACAAGGTTTCACAGTGGAACGTTCGGGTGTTGGAGGTGAGCCGTATCTCACTGCTATTACGTGGTATCTGTTGAGCGCACCAAGCACCATGCGTTCGTTCTTTTTACGGTTACGACGGCGTTGAGAGAGGACCGCGCGTAAGGTGTTCGTGGCGTGTGTCGTGGGCTCCTCTCCTAGCGAACGGTGCATCTGCATGTTTTTTTCTTACCGGTTGCGATTTTTTTTTTTCGCGGCTGTAAGCCCATCCGTACGTTGCTGCGTGCATGCGGGATGGGGTGCTTTTTCCGACCGCGCGTCTTTGAAGACAAGGGGGCACAGATTCTGTTTGTTGCGACGCACTGCTGCGCTAGACTCCCGTCCTTTAGTAGTGCGCGCCATCGCCAAAATGCCAGTATATTGCTGCGTCCCGGCTTTGATTTTCGGGATGCGACGTTAGTTGAAGGCGTTGCTGCAAGTGCGTTCTGCAACAACCACTCATGGCATGATTGTGAGTGCCCCCTCCCGTCTCGCTAATGTACATACAATTGTCAACGAGCGTCCGACTTGCGTCATCCCAACGGCTGGGAGATTTGAGAATTGATAAGTCATGAGAATATCATCGCACATGCATGGTGTTAAGCGCTCGGCCTCCTCTCCCCTCCCCTCGCCTCCCCTCTACACCCCCCCCCCCCCC